TTTCTTTCTTTCTTTCTTTCTTTCTTTCTTTCTTTCTTAAAAATCCTCACTCACGGACACTTCTGCATTTGTCCTGAGATTGAGTGGGAGAGAGACAGGGAGGAAGAGAGAGGGAAACATCGAGGTGAGAGAGACACATCGAATGGTTGCCACCCACATGACCCCAACCTGGGCCAGGGACAAACTGCAACCAAGGTACATGCCCTTAGCGGGAACCGAACCCGGGTCTTTCAGGGCCTCTCTGGTCCATGGGCCGATGCTCCAACCGCTGAGCCAAACTGGCCAGGGCCCTTATGATTTTCTTAACATTTTTACTCGAATTTACTTTATTGTAAGGATACGGTATATAATACATATTGCATACAAAATACGTGTTAATTGACTATTTATGTTATCAGTAAAGCTTCCGGTCAACAGTAGGCTATTAGTAGTTAAGTTTTAGGGGAGTCAAAAGTTACATGCAGATTTTCGATTGTGCGAGGGTTGTGCAGATTTTTAAGTGTGCCTATCACACCCGTGTTGTTCAAGGGTCAGCTGTGCTTGCCTGCGGTCTCCGCCTTCCACCTGCACTCTCCTCTGCTGCCCAAGCCCCTCACTGCCGGGTTGCAAACCCTCAATAGCTATTCATCACCTGCAGATCGAATCTCAACTTCATTCAAGGCCTTTTGTGATCTTATTCTGCACTACTTTGTCTCTGGTCATTTTCTCCTGCTGGCGTTCCAACCGCTGAGCCAAACTGCTGAGCCAAACTTGAAGTTCAAGCTAACTGGCCAACACACATTTCCCAGATCATCTGACCTACCGTTTCCTGTGCTTCCTCACCCCCTAATGCCCTGACTTTTCCTCCTCAGTTTTCAGAACCAGCTCCCATGCTGCCTTCTCCCAGAAGCCTTTCCTGTTCTCTGCTGCTACAGTGGCTTGGATTCCCTCCTCCTGTGTCCACCACAGTGCTTTGGACATGCCTCAAGTCTGCGCCTAACCCAGGATATGAGGGGAACTGTCAAGTCCACAGACCCTGGAACCATCTTGCCTGGGGTTGAAGCTTAGCTCCACTTAAAGTGTTGAACCCATGGGCCAGTCAATTCACCTCCCTGGAACGTGATTCCCTCATCTCAAGACAGGGGGCATAATGGTGTCTTCTTCACTGAGTTGCTGGGAAGATTAAATGAGTTGATGTCTTTTCAGCATTTTGCACGAAGTAAGTGCTACGTAAGTGTTAGCTATCATTTTACTAAGTACACGTCTCTCTTCCCAAATTGATTGTGAACTCCTAGAAAGCAGGGGCTGTCTTATTCATCTCTATGTCCCTAGTACCTGGCACACAGTAGGCACCTGGTATGCATTTGTTCAATGAACTGCTTTGTTATTACTCTGCCAGTAGTTCATTGGTGCCTGGGTTAGCCGGTGAGCGCAGGGTTATTTTCGGTGAGTTTGTATTCCCCAGAGTGGGCCAGCAGCAGGTTCCAGCCCCTGTGTCTAGACAGGTTTATAAATGCTGTGTATCTGGGTGACTTGGCCAGGGTACAGGGTTCCTCTCAGCCCGCTTTCCTTATCTCTAGGCGCTGTTCTCTGCTTCTCAGATGCCCCGTGAATTAGGGGTGTTTCTTGTTCTACTTTATCCAAAGAGGCTTTGTAATTCAATACCCTTGTCCTTGGGTTGGAAATGTGTCCTTTTCTCACTGTGAAAGGTTGGTCTCTATTTGACATTCGGAACACGAGAATGTGCCAGGACTTTGGGATGCTGTGGCAGCTGAATGGAAGAGGAAGGAGAGGGAACCCTCAGAAACTGAGAGAGGGGAGGGAGGGAATAACAGGAGCACTGCCTGGAGCACCTACTCTTGTCCCGCGATTCAATTCCTGATCGTTTCTTCTAAGAAATAATGATAGTCTTTGCCACGTAGGACTTTGCTGGAGAAGTGGATCCTATCATGAGCCCCTCAACTAAAGATGCCAGCAGAGAATTTGGAGAAGGCTGAGCAGAGAGCAAGGACAATTCCGAAGGCAGAGGGTGGGAGGGTGGGAGGGGGAATCTAGGTGTGGAAGTGGAGAAGGAGGTGCGATTCAGTGATGGAGTTCAAGAAAACGAAGGGCTTTATGCAGACTTCTGGGATTTTCTATTGACCTGTGCTCTAGCTGAGAGATTTAGGACAGCTCTAAGGAACGTGTGGCTATTACTGTGGGTACGATGGGATGGCAGCTGAGGCAGTTCTGTCAAAGCTCCCGTGCCCGCCAGCCCAAACGGTGGCACCAGTGCTCGGAGAGTAGACTGGGGCAATGTTGAAGGGGAACAGGGTGACCTTCCACACCAGAGCCCTGTCCCTTTCCCTCTCAAGTCTGCCCCTCCCACTCTCAGTTCTGTGGACCGCGAGGACTTCGGGCTGGGGCAGTTGCTCAGCCTTGGATTCCCCTTTCGAAGAGTCAGTTCTTCCTGTTTATCTTCCCCCAGTGCTGTTCATAGAAGCCTGTGACTATGACTTTACTTTTGACTTTTTCTTTTCACTCTAGATTCACCTTTCCACTTGTCTTCCCATTTTTTTCTTTCCCCTCCTTTTCTACTTTCTAAGGCTTCCCACTGTCCTCTCTTGTGCAGTTCCTTATGCATTGGGGTGGCCGAGAGGGGCTGTGGCATAAGCCAGAGCCTGTCATCTGCCCAACACCATCACCCACAGTCCTTAGTGACAGCCAGTAGGGGGAACTTTCCTGGTTGGGACCATACTGGGCTCTGGCTGCTTCAGCTGGAAAACTGCTTGGAGCCCCGGAGAAGATGGATTGAGAAGGATCTTGGTTTCTGTATTGCTTGACCATGAGTGAGTTGAACTATTGCTCTGTACCATCATTTCTTCATTCATTCAACATTTACCGTGCACTTACAACATGCCAATTACCATTCTGAGTACTGGGCAGGAAGAGAGGTAAACAAGATCCAGTTTCCACAAAGAGATCACAAGCAGGTGTGTAGTCTGCTACTTTCGTAATGAATCATAACAGTGTGAAAAGTATTATATTACCAATAAGAAAAAGACTTGGTAGATGGAGGAAAAATGAATCAGTGGGCCATACTTCCTCTCAAAAGCTGGCTCCGTCTTGTGTGGTCTCTTGGGTGGTTGCCATAGTGTAAATAAACATGGATGATGCCATACTATTTTGACTCTGTCTGAACAGCAGCTCATTTCCTTTCTCCTCAAGGCAACGCAACGAAACAGCAATAATCATTAGCCCTTTTCTGCTGAGGTAGACATGCAGATACTTCTAACTCATGTTGGCTTTCAACAGCCACGTTTTGACTAGTTTTTATTGAAATCAGACTCAGATTTTAGTCTTACAAAACTCTCCCAAGATTAGGGGCTGCGTGGAAGTACAATGGAAAGACACTTCTCATGAATGACCTCTTTTTAGAAGAGTAGTTGGATGGGAGGACGCACGGAGGAGTGTGGTGAAAAACAGACTTGCAATTAGAAGACCAGAGGTCTAGTCCCAGCTATTTACCAATTAACCTAATGTCCCTGGGCCGCAGTTTCCTGATTTGCAAATGGGGATGACTACAGTATCCACCGTGTTAGTCATGGTGAGAATTTGATGAGAAAATGTATGTGAAGCACTTAGAATGAGGCACAGCAGCAGTGATGATGATGGGCTCACTTCCGCAGCTGCAGAAGGAGCGAGTTTCTGTTCAGCAACAGTTCTTGAGCATCTTCCACATTGGTGCTACACTGGGGGTTCAGAAGCTCACCATTGGGAAGGGGATGGACAGACACACACACATGCCACACACACACACCATTCTAACAAAATACTCAGTCCCAAAGAGCTGCTAGGTTCATAAGTATGGGTGTGCAGGGCAGGAGGGTCCTGGAGAGCTTGGTGAGAAGCAGTGTTTGACCTGGGCTTTGAAAAACGAGTAGAGAGAGATTGTCTTTCCCTGCAGAAAAACACATCAAGTTCTTCATGATCTGCCCGGACAGCCTTCTGCTGCATCTCTACCATTAGCCCCTTGCACTGGAATATTTTCAGTTCCCCCAAAATAGACCATACCTTCTCTTGCCTCCCACCCATCTTTGCACATGCCAGTTCTTTTGGACTGGACCTCCTCCTCCCTCTGCTAGGGGGCAGGGCAGCGGACAAGCAAGGCACTAGTGTCAAAGGTGGAGCCCATCCTAGTTTTGCCATTTACCAGCCAGTGGGGCCCCTAATGTGTTACTCAATCTCTTGGTGACTCAATGTCCTTACCTGCAAAATGGGGATACAGAATAACAACAGTGCCCACCTCAAAGGCTGGCTGTGAGTAAATGAGGTAATACCTGCCTAGCGCTTGCCGGCCCCTCCCACAGTAATAACTGAATACTAAACAGGAGCAGTTGTTGTGAGCACCCTGTGCCTGGCTTGCTCCTGCTTGTATTTCAGGTCTGAGCTTAGTCATCACCTCCTCTTGGGGGCCTTTTCCTACACAGGCCAACTCCTAAGGCAAGGTTGAGTGCTCCCATATGGTATCTCCTCTCCCACCAAATTACAGACACCTGTCATCTGTGTCCCCACCAGATTGCAAACTCCTTGAGGACCTGGGACAGGTGATTGTTGACTGCTGGGAGGGACACATGATAGGCACTCAATAAATATTGAATGAATGACTTGGGGTGAGGTTCCCAGTGATCCCCGGGGGTGTGGCAGAGCAGAGTGGGAATGGGCCGGCAGATCCCCAAGAGGACGAGCGGACAGGTGGACCTTGACATCGCAGACAGCAGAGAGAGCCTGGGCGTCCAGGGGGTCCAGGGAGGGCAGCTTCCCGCCACGGGATGGGCCCTGGGAGGACGCGCATCGCCTTAGGGGTTGGGCGCCCTTCAACTTTGGCCTGTCTGCGCCCTGGGGAGAAAATGCAGCCCGACGGGTCGGGCGTTTGCTCTCAGGCCCCGCCCTCCGGCTCCGCCCCGGGCCGGCCCCGCCCCTCCCCGCAGCTCCCGCCCGCGCCCCCGCCCACCTCGCCGCAATTGCAGTGGTTACCGGCCCGCGGCGCCCCACGCAGGCGGGTCAGCGCGCCTATTCCGCCGGGAGCAGCACCGCTCGGAGCCCGCACCGACTGCCGCTGCGGGATGCTGCGCTCGACGTCCACCGTCACCCTGCTCTCGGGCGGCGGCACCAGGACGCCCGGGACGCCCAGCAGGAGGGTGAGTAGCGGGGGACGGGAGCCGCCGCCGTCCCGCTTCCCCGTCCCAGCCGCCCGGCTGGGGGTCTGGGGACGGGGTCGCGCGGAAGCCGGTCCGAGGCCCCGACGCCCCACCCTGGGCTCAACTTTCCGACCCTGCCCCCGATCTGGCCGTGGCCCTTCTCGACGCCACAGGGGCGCCCCGGGCTCCAAGGATTTAGGGAACTTTCTGGAATTCCCAGAGATTTCCTGTCCTTCCTGACTCCTCTGTCAAGCCAAGTTTATTGGCACTAGTTTAAAAAGCAAGGGAGACATTTATTTCTGCAATATCCCTACCTTGAGACTCAAAGGTAAAAAACGTCTTTAACACCCAAACTTCCCTCCTTCCAGCTATGAGAAAAGGGTCGCTTGTCCCCACTGGTAGAATAACACTGCCTGCTAATAGAGTGGATTTAGCCAAGGTAGGCTTCACCTGACAGAGGGGTCAGCAGCTGGAGCCCAGCTGCCTGTGACTCGGGTTTATGCAAACCACTTTCTTCTTTCTGATTTAAATATTAGCGTAGTCCTAGCAGAGGCAGCCCTGGTAGCCTTGGGCACTCATCTCCTGGAGGTTGCCCTTTGGAAGTGCTGTTTCTCTGCCATCTTTTTTACATCTTTTCTCCCCTCTCCAGGTGCTGGGGAAAGAAATGCTAGGTACATGCAGGTTGCATCTTTCCTATTCAGTGTCTCTTCCAAGATCAGAACCTCGGAGCACACTGCCGGGGTTTGAGCTTTTCAGTTCATCTATTCATCATGATATCCAGTTCTTATCATTTGGTGCCTCTTTGTGGTTGAGACACCTCTAATGTGTTTCCCCAAGGTTTAGCTAAATGGGTGGTTAAGTCCAAGGCAGGGCCACTTTGGTACGAGTCTCATAGACATGCCTATTTGCTTTTTACATACCTCAGCCAAGTGACTAGCAGTTGTCTTATATACCGTCTTTCTTTAGCTCTAGAACAGCAGTTCTCAACCTGTGGGTTGCGACCCCTTTGGGGGGTCAAACGATCCTTTCACAGGGGTCGCCTAAGATCATCGGAAAATGCATATTTCCGATGGCGATTCATAATAGTAGCAAAATTACAGCTATGAAGTAGCAATGAAAATAATTTAATGGTTGGGGGTCACCACAACATGAGGAACTGTATTAAAGGGTCGCATCATTTGGAGGGTTGAGAACCACTGCTCTAGAACAAAGGCATTGTGTTACTTTGGGGTGTGGGCCAAGTGATGGGTTCTGGGGTATGTGTGCACTTGCATATACACATACACCAAACATTTAGGACTGAAAGAATTCTGGTTGTTTAGTCATTAGCTTCATAAAGCAAGATCCCCTTTAGGTCCAAGTGGGTTTTCGATAGCAGTCCCAGCGTTATCCAAGATGGGTATCTACCCTTTTCTAGGAAAGCCTTCACATTTGGAACACAATTATGATTGAGAAAGGATGAAGTCACTGAAAAGCTAGCCCTGAGCCAGGATAGTCTTGTGTGAACCAGATTGCCTGAAATGCATTGTCTAAGGCCCCCTCCACACATGGGACCTGATTGGAGCAGCCAGAGTGATTGTGTGTGGATGTAAATGTGATAAGTCCACAAGATAACTTTTCTGAAGATATTTTCTCGAATATTTACTTTCAAGTATTTCTTTAGTTATACATGTTTTGGTGTCTGGCACAGTGGACACACCATTGAGAAGGTTCTGCCTTTTGCATAAGACAACCTCAATACTTTGGAGAGAAGGGCTCAGGGCCCCGAATCAAACCATGTAGGGCTGTTCTGAGCACACGAGTACTTATTTCGAGAAGATAGCTAAAGGTTCTAGGATTCCCTTTATGATTTCCAACTCTGCTCACGATTTGCAAATGTCACAAGTATGGTCTGTGTGTGTAGGGGGAGCATTCTGAGAGGCTGTGATCCTTGATTGATTGATTGATTAAACAACATTTATAGATCTCCTTTGTGTGATGCAGAGCTAGGCACTGGGGTTCACTCCAGCTGTGGAGGCAGACTTTGTCACAGACTGCCATCATATAGTGTGACGGTTGTTATAGTGGGGTAGAGTGTTGCCAAAGTTGGGTGGAAGCTACAAGGACAGGTTCTTCCCGAAACATCTGAGGAAGGCCTTTCTCTGCAGAAGTCATTTGAGTTTAGTTTTGCAGGTTGAGTAGGAGTTTGCGGGTTCATTGACATTATTGGGATACTGAAAGAAGGAACTATTATTCTTCTAAATGGAACTCTTGAGATGTACTGTATAACAATGGCACATTGGACCTGCTTTAGAGCAAAACACTTAATATTTTTTTGAAAAACAGGAGCAAGATGTCTTAAATAAAATTGTAGACCAAACAAGTAATCACGAAATGTGTTCCAGAAGTGGAAAGTTGGTCAATAAACTCTGTATTGTTCTGTCTTTCCTTTCTGATGTCGGACAAGTGATAGTCTTGAACAATAATGTGGGCCATTAAAATAGTGTTTCTGTTCCATCCAAATTGCTTACCAAATTAGGGGCTGCAGGGGAACCAGGCTGGGTTGGTATAGACATTCAAGTCAACCAGAAATGGTGGTGACAGCTGACACTGAGCAGGGGATTCTCTGAGTCAGCTGCCCAGGGTGGTGTGGCCAGACCAGACTGTCACCAGTGATCCTTCGTTCAGTGGCTGCCACCTACAATTTATACTTCCTTCTTATCTGAAATCATCTCTCAAGAAAAAGGGAGAAAAAACAAACAGGTGGGAGAGTAATTTCTGTCAGCTGATAAACAAATCTCTAAGAGGCATTTATGGATGCCAACCAGCAGGGGTTGTGAAATTTAAAAAAAAAATCTGCCTCCAAACCAGTTGTGCTCTAAAAATAGTTTTATCTATGGCAACAGCAGGAAGATAAATTGGATGGAGAATAACCATAGACAGAAAAATGACCTTGGAGAATGAGGAAAACATTTTAAAAAATATTGACATTGCTTCATGATGTTGAAAGGAATTTTGTAAATGCAGTTAATTCCACTGAATGAGTCTTTGAAGCGAAAGGTCAGTTGAGTGGCCAGGTTGTGCGCTGGAAGGTGAATGTTGCTTTGTGCAGCCAAGTATTTTTGGTTACACAGTCCAGCCAGGGTGGTGTGAGACCTGTCAAGATTTCCTCCAACACCATTAGATATTATAAGTATCTCCTACTGATAAAAAAAGATTGTTGGCTAATGTTACTGTTATCATGGCCCCTCAGTGGCATATAAAAAACAAAACCAAACCCTGGGCCTGGCCAGGTTGCTCAGTTGGTTAGAGCATTGACCAGGTACACCAAGGTTTCGGGTTCGATCCCTGGTCAGGGCACATACTAGAATCAACCAGTGAATGCATGAATGAGTGGAACAACAAATCGATGCTTCTCTCTCCCTCTCCCCCTTCCTCTCTCTCTTTCTCTCCCTTCCTCTCTCTCTCTCTCAAATTAAAAAAAACAAAAAAACAAAAAAAAATTAGCCCTGGTCAGTTTGGCTCAGCGGTTAGAGTGTCGGCCCGCGGTCCAGAGAGACCCGGGTTCGGTTCCCACTGGCAGCATGTACCTCAGTTGCAGTTTGTCCCCGGCCCTGGTTGGGGTTGTACGGGAGGCAGCCACTCGATGTGTTCCTCTCACATCAATGTTTCACCCTCTGTCTCTCTCTTTCTCTCTTTCCCTCCTGCTCTGTCTGAGCAAAAATGGAGGAATGTCCTCGGGTGAGGATTAAAAAAAAAAAAATTTAAAAAGCAAAGCACAAAGATAGACCTGTTTTCTAGTCTGCTCTTGCCCACCTTTCTTTCTATTTGGCAAAGGCTTCCTCTGTTAGATATCAGGACTGGCCTGCCAGTCATCACTTCCTAGCTAATGCACCCCTCTCCTGGGTCCCATTTCTGTCTAATTGGCTCAAAATAAAGACTTCTCTTTAGCTGGGCAGTGAGTAGGTCAGACAGGTGTTTACCTCATTTCCTTTTCCTTTTCACAGAGACACTGAGTGCATAACTCCATATTGTCCTGCAGGCTCTGAGGAAGGGACACAGGGTGTGTGGGACCTCAGTGTCGGGGGGCGGGGGGGGGGCAAGTTGGCTGCAGCATCCACCAGGGAGGGCGTGGACAGGGGGCCTGCTGCACCCAGAAAACAGGCTGGCCCCTCGCTAGGGCCCTCCTGAGTCAGACCCTGACAGGGCAAGTTGTAAGGTTTTGGAACCTTGGGGTCCTCAAGGCTTAGCCAAGAAGCCTCTGCCACTAGAAATTGAGAGTTGTATCTCAGGAAAAAGAAAAACAAGTCCCACCCTCTCTGCTCTGGGTCACCCATCTTGCTGTGTCAAGTGTAGGACGGACAGACACGAGTCCTCGGCACTCTTAGGGAAACTTGCGACCTGGAGGTCACTTGGGAAACCCTTTCAAGTCAGTCAGCCTCAAAAACTGTCTAATTGAGTTCAGGGAGCTGTGGCTTCCGTGCTAACTAATTAGAGACCATGTTGAAATGTTTTGATCTAAAATACCTTCAGTGATTCTGGGCATTGTGGTCTGAGGACTTCCTGTGGTGATCCCTCTCAGGCAAACAGTTCTGGTATCCCCAACACACTGAAGAGTGACACAGTGGTGTTTACTGCTTTTCCCTCTCTAGATGAGTGATATTTCCTAAGTGTCAACCACATTGCTGACCCTTACTTGTTCCTTAAGGCCAGAGAAAAATGCAAACTTCAGTCACCTGACTCCTGCTTCAAGCGCCCCTCAGTCTTGCTAGAGAAAGTCCAAACCCCTTAGTGTAGCATCCAGGCCCATCTGATCTGCCGTTGCCTCCCCTGTTCCTCCCCACACGTGCTCTTTCCAGATGTTCCAAACTACTTGCCATTCCCCAAGCTTTCCATGCTGTTCCTTGCCTTTTTTGCTGTTTTTGTACCTCTCCTTTGATGAAGGGTCATCTCCTCCAGGAAGATTGCCCTGAACCCTCTTCTTTTGTGTTCCCCTAGAGGCCTGTGCACCCTGTCATTGC